AAAAATAGGCTAGGTAGGTTTTATTTGTTTAAAAATAGGCTTATAGGTTTTATTTGTTTAAAAATAGGCTTATAGGTTTTATTTGTTTAAAAATAGGCTAGGTAGGTTTTATTTGCTATCTTAATCTTGGTTGTATTCTTTTATATTAACGTTTGCATAACTATCTTTTAGCTGCATGAATGATGTATATGTAGTATTGAATATTAGATGTGATTAATAGTTTTAGTCAATTTAAACCCATTTTAGTCATTTTATTCCTAATACTGCCAAGTAGTATCATTTAGTGTAGTTTCTTTGCTTCTCTTAGAAAGTGCTGCTCAATTGTAGTTGTATTGTTTTTTAAATATTTGATAGGTACAGCTTATGTAGTAGAAAAGGCAAAAGTGAAATACCTGTTCTAAATAAAGGAAAAAAAACTTGCCTGTATAAATACTGTAGTTAGAAAATAGGAAGGCTGCTACTGGCATCTGGGGAGTAGAAGCTAAACATCCTGCAGTGCATAAGGAGTTATCTGCCCCAAAATGCCAATAGTAAGAAAACCTGCTTTAGAGAAAGTAAAGTTGTTATGGATTCCTTTCATGTATTTGTAAATATTAATGGATAAGAGGTTGTTTAAATAAAGGAAATGCATGTTTTCAACCACCGTTGTTGTTTCTTAACCAAATTGGGACTCGAGAGGGGTCCCTGTCCAGAGAGAGGAGGTTGCCAAAATAATCAGGAAATTAGCTGCTGAATTAGCCCCTGATTTGTTCGGAGGGAGAGTTAATGAGGATGCCAGCATCTGGGTAATCCTGGTAGACTTTTTCATCCTGGATTGGAAGGAAAAGCTGAATTTAGTGCATGGTGATGATCATAAAGCTAATCAGTGGGAATGGAGTATTTTGTGGAATTGTGTTGGGACTTGCATCTTGGTGGGTGATGGGTTATAGCGGGATTCCAAAATTAGTTTCATTAGAGTAAATTTCAGTGGGTCAGAGAATTAGTGTTTTTTCAGTTGGTTTGTTTCGATTGTGTTTTTAAAATGACGCTATGAAAGTAATACAAGAAAACACAGATATCTTCTATAATATTGAACTGGGAAAGGCTTAGTACAAAGGAGCAATTTGACCACACCAACATTTAAAATGTCTGTACCCTAGCTGGTTTGGCTCAGTGGATGGAGCCTCGACCTGTGGAGTTGGCGGGGGATCCCGGGTTCAATTCCGGTCGGGGCGGCATGCCGGGTTGTGGGCTTGATCTCCAGTGAGGGCATGCAGGAGGCAGCCGATCGATGATTCTCTCTCATTTATGTTTCTGTCTCTCTCTCCCTCTCCCTTCATCTCTGAAGTCAATAAAAATACCTATTTTTAAAAATATAATAAAATGTCTGCATAGGCAACCTATAAACCAAGCCAAACAATACCCTGGATGAAAAAATTTAAATGCCTCTTACAAAAGGCCAAATTTCTTAATATATACACTGCAAACAATACTATATATAAATTCGTTTTTAAAAAAACCACACATACACACAAAGAAAACACACAACCAAGTCAAAAAATGTAAATAGGGAATGGATGTAGTTCTCAGACAAAGGAAATATTAATAGCCTTTTAACAAACATGAAAATACTATAAGTCACGCATAATTAAAGAACTAGAAATTAAGCTCTAGCCGTTTTGGCTTAGTGCAGCAGTCGGCAAACTTGCTGCTCTGCCAACCACTGCTAAGGCATTACCCTTACCCAGAAGTTTTGACTTACGGTTAAAGACATTAGTACATTATTAAAATATTTTTTAAGTGTTTATCCCTAGCAGTGGTCGGCAAACTCATTAGTCAACAGCGGCAAACTGTGGCTGGCGAGCCACATGTGGCTCGCGAGCCTCAGTTTGCCGACCACTGGTTTAGTGGATAGAGTGAAGGGTCCCAGGTTCGAGTCCGGTCACATATCTCAGTTCAGGCTCCTCCCCAGCCCAGGCCCTGATTGTGGCTTGTGCAGGAGGCAAGCAATTGATGTTTCTCTCACATCGATATTTTTGTGTTTCCCTCTCTCACTCTCTAAAAATCAATGGGAAGTTATCCTCCGTTGAAGATTTAAAAAAATAAATAAATAGAAATTAGAACAAAGATTTTACTTTTCACCCAGCAGATGGCAAAGTCTAAAATTACGATAGCATTTGGTGGTGTTTCGAAAGTGGGAAAATGCCAGTTAAAAGAACATAAATTAATACAAACTCATTGGAGGTCGACTTTAATGCACATATTTTTTGACCCAATAATTATATTTCTGTGTAATTTTCCATACCCTCACAGATGCATATTTAATTAGGTACATAATAATATTAGCAAAGCTGTTGAAGCATTGTGTGAAAAAGTTAGTAGGGGGGAAAAGGTTAGTAGGGAACCTTATAAGTCAGTATGTTTTAAAAAATGGGTTACTCTGTGGTGGATATAAGAAATGGGATAGCTATGAATGTGCAGATAAGGGAAAAGTCCAAAATTGATAAATGAAAAAGCAAAGGTAATTTTTAAAAGAACTGTGTATAGATCAGAAAATATTGTTTCCTCCTGTCCAGGACTAGACGCTCTTAGAATGTAACAACTTTAAGCATTCATAAAGGGAGAGGGGATCCATCTTACAAAGTGAATATGGTGTGTGAACACATTAGCTAGGTGTCTGGCTGCTGTAATAACCAAAAATAGCAGGCTTAAACTCTCATAAAACATTCCAGATGTTATAAGTAGCTCAGCGCTGATATGATAATTCTATGATTTGGGCAGCGCAGGCCTTTTCTGTCTTCTTAGCTTATAACACTCAAAAAAGCGGGGAGCCAAAACCGGTTTGGCTCAGCTTGCGGACTGAGAGGTCCCGGGTTCGATTCTAGTCAAAGGGCACATACCTTGGTTGCGGGCACATCCCCAGTAAAGGGTGTGTAGGAGGCAGCTGATGTTTCTAACTCTCTATCCCTCTTTGTTCCTCTCTGTAAAAAAATCAATAAAATGTATTTTAAAAAAGGGGGGGTGGGCGGGGGAACAGGTTTAGCTCAGTGGAAGGAGCCGTCGGTCTGCGGACTGAAAGGTCCCAGGTTCGATTCTGGTCAAGTGCATGTACCTTGGTTGCGGGCACATTCCCAGTAGGGGGTGTGCAAGAGGCAGCTGATTGATGTTTCTCTCTCATCTATGTTTCTAATTCTCTATCTCTATTTCTTCCTCTCTGTAAAAAAATCAATAAAATATATTTAAAGGGGGGGGCATCTTACAGTGTGAATGAAGTAAACACGTGTTAGCTAGGTACCTGGCAGCTGTAATAACTAAAAATAACAGGTTTAAACTCCCATAAAGCATTCCAAATGTAAGTAAATCACAGCTGATAATTTTGTAATTTGAGGGATTCGGGCCTTTTCTGTCTTATTAGCTCTGCTGTTATGGTCTCAGGTTTAGCTCCCTCCTATGTCTGTATTCCAGCCAGTAGGACAGGGATATTCCCATAGTTTCCACTCTCATCCTCTTGGGTGCAACAGTCCTATAATGACACTCAGCTTCCTGAGAGTCTGGGAAATGTCTTTAGATTACATTCTGTCATTACAGAATATTGGTTCTCTACTACCGATGCGATCACCCTCCTGAGAATGCTTGGAATGTGTGGGGGGAAGGTATTCATTGGCTGTCTGACAGGGGAGTAATAACGGTATTTAAAGGATGGAGCCAGGAATGTTAAATATCCTGTAATGTGAAGGACAGACTTGCTCCACTAGCAATCATACTCCTCATGACAAAAACCAGCAGAAGTGAAGGATAGGTGTGGAGGGAGGGGTTACCTAGCCGTGTGCTAGTGTATGTTAGCACCTGGCTCTGAAGGGGAGGGGAGGGAGCTCTGGTATGTAGCTTCTGCTGGTTTCTGTCATGTCAATGTGCTGTCCCACCGTGGCCGGTTCAAGGTGCCAGCCTGAAGTCCCTCATTGGGAAGGGATGCACATAGTTGTCTGTGGCAGGCTGGTAGGAACAGACTCCAGCACTCCACTCGGTTTAGCCAACCATCTCTGTATATATGCTGGAGGTGGTTATAGTCAAAGGTGACCAGACGTCCCGCTTTTGGCGGGACAGTCCCGATTCTTAACAATTTGTCCCGAGTCCCGCGGCATTTTTAAAAAGTCCCGATTTTTCGAAAGATTCTTTCCAAAAATCGGGACTTTTTTAAAACGCCACGGGACAAATTGTTTGAAATCGGGATGTCTGGTCACCTTATTATAGTCTGTGACATGATGGTAGATACATACTCTATTTGGCCCGTCAGTAATATTCTCCATAATAGTTTTATTCTTAAAACAATCTCTTTTTCCAAATAGCACTTGGATTTCCATACCCCAGTTCAGCAGGAATGTTTATTCCATCTTTGATTTTATGTGGATAGTTTAACATTTTTTTCAAAGATCACAGGTATGAGCCCGCTCCAGCGTGGTTCAGTGGTTAGCGTTGAACCAGGAGGTGACAGCTGGATTCCCTGTCAGGGCACATGCCTGGGTTGTGGGTTCAATCCCCAGTGTGGGGCGTGCAGGAAGAAACCGATCAATGATTCTTTCTCATCATTTATGTTTCTCTCTCTCCCTCTTCTTTCCTCTCCCTCCCTTTCTGAAATCAGTAAAAAATATATATTTTTAAAATATCACAAGTATGTTTACATTACTAATATATACATTTTCTGAAAAGAAGCTTTAATAAATAGTAGATATTCTGTTTGTGTTATATATATGTGTACACCGGGTATAATAGGATGTATATTTTATTGGTGTGAAATCATATTAGCATGTGGTCTTTTTAATGTGGTATTAACATGCTTATTTTACATTTTAATATACGAACTGGAAGAGACGTCTAACTGAACATCCGTCTACTCTACTAATAAGTAGATCTGTTATAAGAAGCTGTTCTTCTGGTTACGTAAGCCCAGGTGTTAATGAAGTCCAAATACCTGTGTCCCTCCTGCCCCTGGTTCCGCTTATTCCTTTTTTCTCTCGTTTCAGGTATCTGGCATAATTTCGTCCTTGCACTCTTGGGTATTTTAGCTCTTGTCCTCCTCCCTGTGATCCTCTTGCCGTTTTACTACACAGGAGTTGGGGTGCTTATCACTGAAGTTGCGGAGGTAAATCATGGATTACTTGGGCTTTTTTTTTTTTTTTACCTGATTTTGTGATGTAACAATTTTATGTCAGGTGCTTTTTTAATCACCTTCTCATAGCTCTGGCCAGTATGGCTCAGTGGGTAGAGCGTCAGCCTGCAGACTGAAGGGTTCCCTGTTCGATCCCCAGCCCCGGTCCGGGCGTATGCTGGAGGCAACCTGTCGATGTTTCTCTAACACCCGTGTTTCTCTCTGTCACTTCCCCCTCCCTCCGTTCTCTCTCTAAAACAAGGTTCTCTTCAGAGACAGAATGCTCCGTCTCTCCTGGAGAAATCATTGCCAATCCTTTCAAATTGAACAGACGGTTTTGTGGAATACGTTATCTTTTTAGAAACACTAAAAATTGTTTCTCTTCTGAGTTACAAAGATAGTATAAAGATTCTCTACCTGTCATTTGTTGATAAAATATGTCCTTTACTTTTACTGTTTATTTTTATCATTCTGTTTTTGGGTGAAAGGTCTCTTGACATTTGAAACCTAGGCTAGCTAGCTTGCCAGAACATTTCACGGGAGTTTAGGTCTTCAATTCTGTATTTTATGGCCTTATTTAATAACTACTGAGATAGCATGAAGTCTTCTATTCAGACTTAGGGAAGAGGAAAATTGCCGTCCTGGGCAACTGGCTCACATATTCATTGTGCTGACAGTATCATCTGCATGTTTGGGACTGTGTTCAAATAAGGATTTTTACAATTTCATCCAGGGAAGACATATTAATAGGAAAATGAAGGCATTTTGATGACTACTTTCACACACAAAAAAATAATGAGCAGTTTACCAAAAACTACTAGTTTAACCTTAACGGTTGGCAAATGGGTTTTTGTTTTTTCAGTTGCAAAAAAATCCAAAATCTTGTAGGAGTAGGAAAAGTAACTGTCATCGTTGTGTTTTGTTTTAATTTTGTAGTATTTTACAGCTTGGGGTCACAGCTGGATTGTTTTGTATATTATTCAAACAGTCTACTTATTCAATTCAGTGTCCTTAACGATTATTTGCTCAGATCAGTCATAGCTTGTTTCCACTCATTACCTGGTTTGTTTTTGCCTTTTTCCCAAGGACTCACCTGCAGTTGGCCCCAGAGGTCTTTTTGTGGGAGACCTTGTCACCCATCTCCAGGATTGTCCCGTGACTAACGTACAGGATTGGAATGAATGTCTAGACACCATCGCCTATGAGCCCCAGATTGGTTACTGCATAAGCGCGGCCACACTGCAGCAGCTAAGCTTCCCGGTCAGAGGTGCGTATATTTCTCTCTGCATAACATAATGCTTCAAGCAGCAGTACTTGCCACTCACAAATCTTAGATCATGTCTATAGATTTGTTTTGTTCTGATTTGTTGAAAACAAATCAGAAAAGTAATAATAGGCCCGAAATAGTAAACATTCTTGCTGAATTGCATACTACTACGGATGTTTCTTTTATTATAAATATTGGTATTGAACCTCTAATTTCATAACATCATTTCAGGACTCTAGAATCTAATTCTCTGTGTTTAAAAAAAAAAAAAAAAAAAAACTTGTGTGCTCTGCGCCGTGGTAAGTGGGTGCCACTGAAGGGACCTGCTGCCATGTGAGAATGCGCCAGCCCCGCCAAATGCCCATGAGCCTCGGGCACCTCCTCCCAGCACTGCCCAGGCCACTGGACCCGGCTACCCTGCTGCTGCTGCCGTTTGGTCATGGCAGCGGCAGGCACTGGGGCACGAAGGCCCAGGAGCCGGATGTGGCATCAGCAGTAAAAAGGTTGAGCAGTGCCCTAACGGGTGTGCTCAGTGGTTAGAGCGTCGACTACTGAGGACTGAAGGGTCCCGGGTTCGATTCCAGTCAAGGGAATGTACCTTGGTTGCAGGAACATCCCCAGTTAGGTGGTGTGCGGGAGGCAGCTGATCGATGTTTCTCTCTCATTGATGTTTCTAACTCTCTATCCCTCTCTCTTCTTCTCTGTAAAAAAAAAATTAAAAAAAAATTCAATAATATATAATTTTTTATTGATTTATTTTTTAAAAACCAATTAAAACTATATTTTAAAAAATATTTTATTGATTTTTTACAGAGAGGAAGGGAGAGAGATAGAAACATCTATGTGAGAGAGACATCGATCAGCTGTCTCCTGCACACCCCCCATTGGGGATGTGCCTGCAACCAAGGTACATGCCCTTGACCGGAATTGAACCCGGGTCCTCTCATTCCGCAGGCTGACGCTCTATCCACTGAGCCAAACCGGTTTCGGCAATAAAATATATTTTTAAACAGAGTTAAAAAAAATAAATATGCAGGCGTGAGTCTCCTATCCTGCCTGGCCTTGGCAGGAGCTAAATCATGCAGATATTACTGTGGTTCAACTGGTGGCTATTCAGAAAGGTGAATATATTAAATTTGTGGGGTTTTTTTAACCCAACACACTTCAGATTCTTCATTAAGTTTCTTTAAAAATGAAACTCATGATCCTTTTGCAAACTATTTTTCTGTGGCAATCTATCACCTCCTTTCACTTTCTCTTGATGAAATTGAAATGGTTTTCTTTGAGACTAAAATAGAGTTGAAAATGAAATTGCTGGACTCTTTTTGCCTCCTCAGTGATACTGGTGAAAGCATCCTCAAAAGCAGTTTTGAACTGCTCACAAGTCTGGAAAGGTAGCTGTGTGGCAGTATAGATATTCCTCTGATCTGAAGGTCACATTGACTTATTAACCCTTTGCACTCCGCTGTCCCCTCTCAGGGGACATCGGAATTCTAGCATATCACTCGGATGTCCCCTCTCAGGGGACATTGCAGTTTATTAGTGATTACGGGGAATTGAGTTAATTCAATGCACGTTTCGCAAAGTAGCGTTGAGTAGCTGGTAGCCAATGTCCAGATGGTTCGGAGTGCAAAGGGTTAATACTGTGGTTAGTCTGTGGCTCGGGAAAGATTTTAAAAACACTGAAACCCCATACCTCTGGAAGAGATTTTCACAGCCACTCGTGGATGTTGTTTCTGTTAATACTGCTCTCACCAGGAGAGGTTTGCCATGCTGAAAGCAATGGTACTTCACCCGTGCCTGGTAAGATAACGCTAAGGTGACCAGACGTCCCGCGTCCCGCATCCCGGGGCATTTTAAAAAAGTCCCGATTTTGCCGAGACCGGTTTGGCTCAGTGGATAGAGCGTCGGCCTGCGGACTGAAAGGTCCCGGGTTCGATTCCGGTCAGAGGCATGTACCTTGATTGCGGGCACATCCCCAGTGGGGGGGGGGGAGGGTGCAGGACGCAACTGATGGATGTTTCTCTCTCATCGATGTTTCTAACTCTATCCCTCTCTCTTCCTCTCCGTAAAAAATAAATAAATTTTTTAAAAGTCCCGATTTTAATCTTTCCAAAAATCGGGACTCTTTTAAAGCGCTGCGGAACACAGGAGAAATTGTTAAAAATCGGGACGTCTGGTCACCTTATAGCGCTGATGCCATCATCTTATGGGTGTCGATATTTGTCAAATACTGTTCAAGGGAGACTTCTATTTATTTCTCATGAGTGAAAGGTTTCTCTGGTTAGGTTAATATGAAGTCAGGTCCATGTGAAGATTTTTAACCTGTTTAAGCCCATGTTTAAGATTTGAGGTCTCCCGTGGAAAACGCAGGCATAGAAAGGTCCACAAGGCTTGTGGTGACTGTTTTGTTAACTCGAGAGATTCTGGGGCAGAGGACTGGAGAAGCTTCTCCAGGCCCTGCTGTCGGCGCCCCGGGAGCCTCACGGCCTCCCTGCAGGCCCTAACCGAAAGCAGTTTCGGTTCCGTCCGGGGCAGTCCTTAGAGGCTCACTGTGCACCCCAGGCCTTGGCGGAGGCGGCCCCTGCGTGAAGAGCGGCACCAGAGCAGCTGCTATGCCCTGCCTCTGCCCGGACAGCCCCAGCTCGGATCGCCACTCCGATCGTTCCGCTCCGGCCCACCCGATATTCCCCTTCCGGGGCTGCTCGCAGGCCGCCCGCAGTCGTCTGTACATCCCCTCCCCCCCTTGTAATATTTTATCTTTCCCGAAGTGCAGAGCCCCTGTCAGGTCTCCCCAGCCCCCCACCCCGCCTTTCTTTCCTCCCCAGCCCTGCCCTCCCCTCCCCTCTCATCTTCCTTCCCCATTCCCCCTCCTCCATCCCCCCTCCATCCCCATCCTCTGTCTACCCTCCCCCATCTTCCTGTCCCTCTCCTTCATCTTCCTGTCTCCCCCTCCCCCTCCTTCCTGTCTCCCCTCACCCACCTTCCTGTCTTCCCTCTCCCACCTTCCTGTCTCCCCTCCCCCACCTTCCTGGATCCCCTCCCTCGCCTCCTGTCTCCCCCTCCCCCTCCTTCCTGTCTCCCCCTCCTGGATCCCCTCCCTCACCTTCCTGTCTCCCCCTCCCCCTCCTTCCTGTCTCCCCCTCCCCCACCTTCCTGTCTCCCCTCCCCTCCATCCCGCGCCACTGTGGGCTGTCTCAGAAACGGTAAGACCCAGGACCAAGTGGGAGGCCAATAAAAAGATCTGGTCGCACCTGCAGAAGAACATGCAGGTCCATTGCTGCCGGTGCAGGGAATCCGGTAAAAGCATTGCTGGGAAGCACATGAGGACCCTGCCTGTTAATGGGCTTAATGGAGAGGGCAGCTAAGGGGTGACCACAGGCTGCTAGGAGCAACAGCTATGGGTTATGTTACCCTTAGGTCATGGCTGCCTCTTAGCTGTGTCCCATCAGCTTGCATGCTGGATTGTTTTAGGAACTTCTTACTATTCTGGCCGAAGCCGGTTTGGCTCAGTGGTAGAGCGTCGGTCTGTGGACTGAGGGGTCCCGGGTTCGATTCCAGTCAAGGGCATGTACATTGGTTGCGGGCACATCCTCAGTAGGGGGTGTGCAAGAGGCAGCTGGTCGATGTTTCTCTTTCATCGACGTTTCTAGCTCGCTCTCTCTCCCTTCCTCTCTGTAAAAAATCAATAAAACACATTTTTTTAAAAAAGTACTATTCTGCTCTGGGGGAGGGGCCCACATCTAACCTCTAAAGGTAACTAGGGAGAGGAGAAAAAAAAAATTTTTTTTTAAGTCAAGGCTTGTCTTGACTATTCTTTTAACTCAGGCAAGTCACAAAAACAACAAAAGTGGAATAAAATCCTTAATTGTTCAAAGTGAAGTGTGGCACCCAAAATAGGCATCTACATAAAAAGTGACTGTCAGTTTACTGTGCCAAAAGTAGGCATTTGAGAAGTAGTGACAAGTCCTCACTAAACAACTACTGTGTGCTAGACGCTAGCCTAACCCTGCCTTGCTAGTCCCTGCCTGCTGCCTGCTCTTCTGTGACTGTTTTGCAGTAGATACAGTATTAACATCTGTGATAAATAAAACGAATCTGCCCTGACCAGTGTGGCTCAGTGGATAGAGCATCGGCCTGCAGACTGAAGAGTCCCAGGTTCGATTCCGTTCAAGGGCATGTACCTTGGTTGCAGGCACATCCCCAGTGAGAGGTGTGCAGGAGGCAGCTGATTGATGTTTCTCTCATCAATGTTTCTAGCTTTCTATCCCCCCTCTCTTCCTCTCTGTAAAAAATCAATAAAATACATTATAAATAAATAAAATAAAACTACTCTGCCAAAAATAATGGGATTAACTTGGCCTAAAAACCAAAGAGGGAAGTAGGCAGGGCTGAGGCAGAGCAAAAAATAGGCCATGCTACGTACCTTCAATGCTAGCATCCTTCTAATTCATGCCATTTTTACTATCACCTTTAGAAATAAGCAACAATAAGCCGAGGCTCCCTTGAGATAGCTAAGTGTATGTTCTTTGCCATCAGTTTGTTTATAGCATGATACTTTCTAAATAAACTCTTTAAAGGAAAAAATTTGGGTTAATTCAGCATTCCAGCTCAACCATGACCAATTAACTAAATTCCAGTAATTAAATATTTCTGTACTACATGGATGGTGGCATGTCCAAAAAGCTCTTTGGGGTAGAGTTGTTTTATGTGGCAGGCATCCAAAGGAAGTAATCTTGGCTTCCGAAAATATCCCCTGAAGTTAGATCTGTTGTTCCGTGTAGCAGGTGGCAGGGTGAAACAAGTTTATTCTCAGAAGCTGCCAAATTTATTTTGAGTTCTTTCAGCTCTGAAAAATCAGTCTCCCAATTCTTTTTATATATATATTTTTTTTTATTTCAGAGAGGAAGGGAGAGAGAGAGAGACAGAGAGAGAGAGACAGAGAAAGAGAGAAACATCAATGATAAAAGGGAATCATTGATTGGTTGTTTCCTGCACAT